GTAGCATGAAGCAGCTAGGAGTATTTCTACTTCTCCTGGACGGGATGCTAGTCCATCGTAGGTCACTCCCCCGCAATTTGGTAGGTTTCCCCAACAAAACGCCGGTACCCATTTATACTCCTGGGTGGAGAGAGGCACTGTGATAGTAAAGTGTCTTGTCCAAGAACATCACACAGTGTCCCCGGCCAGGGCTCGAACCCGGAGTGCTCGATCCGGGGACGAGCGCACCAACCATGAGGCCACCGCGCCTCCATTATGCACGTGGCTTACTGTACATAAACACAGTTACGGCAAGGGTTTGGAGTCAATTCAAACCCTGTACCAATCTTGTCCAAATCTTGTTGGCGTAAAACACGTTGGCCTCTAACGTATCGTGCAACACGACTTTTATGATGTGTTGGTGAACCTAATATAAAGTAGCCAAGCCTTTTTAACGGCAAAGCGTGAGTCACGTGACAGATGGAAAGGAGGGCTGTTCTGTTACCTTGGTAGCGTGTGTCAGCATTTTCTGCAACTTGGTCATTTCCATCATTTTTTGACTCAACATGGCAGCGTTTCTTTGCGCCTTATCCTCTGTCAACTGTTCGGTAAACACAGATAAACATAACCTTTTAATTCGAAATTAATAACATCAACGATAGAACTATGCAAGCTACTGATTATTTTTTGTAAAAACGGTTGACTTCGGGAGAAAAAGGCTTTTGTTTCAACCGGGTAAGGCGAGTCAATTGAGTTGGTGAAGTAACATATCAAATAAAGAAGGAAGAAACACAGACACTTTACCTTAAGTGCAGTATGAAGCCTTCTGTTTTCTTCATCGCCGCCGTTCATCTTTGAATAAACAAACAAGCAAATAAATAAACGAATAAATAATATCGAACGCTTGGCAAAGAATATCCTTTCTAAACCGATGAAGAGTGACCTTGAGAAGTAAATAAGTCAAAAGAAAATGATAAACAAGGTCCTTCTTGTTAGTTGTACCAGAGATCGTTCTCAATTACAATTGACGTGATTTGAATTTTGTTGGGCTAAAACGAAATATTTAAACCAGCTCTATGACCTTTTTCAGCTTTTTAGTTATTTCAGAGAGCAGTGGTAACCCTTTAATTTTTCAGGAAATCATTTGAAGTACTTGTATATATTAACTACTAAATGGGGTAAATAAAGTGCACTCTCATTGGTGTTGTGTTGTTGTCTCGAAATACCTAGTTTTTCCAGCGTAAACTTAATCAAAAAGCCCTGACAGAGGTCACTGTGTTGTTTTGGCGCAAACTACTTTAATTAGTACTCTCAGTGCCTCTCTACACAGAGGAATGGTTTTTTTTTTTTTGGGGTGGGGGGGGGGGGGGTGGGGGGGGCAAATATCACCGTAATCATACCGATTCAGTGGACATCACACTACAGTGGCTATCATTCAGTGAGTCGTTCTCAGTCGACTTCCGCAGACTGTCATTTTGAGCCCGCAGTTGTTGGACCCTTCCCTGCAAGTGACGTAACAGTCGGGCAGTGCTGGTGTCTTCACCAGGTCTCGGGCTGGGCGTTGTCGAGCTGAGACTGGTGCCAACTCCGCTCTCCGGAGGAGAGGATGTGCCATTCACCATGGGGCTACCGGCAGGGGTCTGGGTAAAGAACAAAATCAGAATAGATATTCGAGTGAGTGATATTACACGAAGTACTGATTGGCAAAATATCTGTGCGTCCTTCTCTGTTTATGGCAATAGCGAGAATGGCAAACTTTTGTCTACGAAAATGAAAGACTTTCACTTACAGCAGCCTTTGCCTGCTTGAGTTCTTTTTCCAGACGGTCTATAGTCTTCTGATAGGCCTGGAAATAAAGAACAAACAAGTATAAACTTCTAATCACAAGAGACGCTGAATGGGGAAAGAAAGTTCAGCAGAGTTTTCGACACACAAGGCAGGACAGACTTACTGTTCTCTCAGACTTCATCTGTAAAGCGTTTCGTTCACTTTCTTCTTGGTATTGCCTGTACAACAGTAACAGAAATGATTTAGTCACAATTTAGGTAGCGCCCTTAAAAAGGAAGATTACTTTGCTTACCTTTTCATTCTAGCCACTTCGTCGTCCTATCAAAGAAACGACAAGAAACATTTTAGAAAATCTCAGAACAAAACTGGTGTTTTGTGACATTGAAATACAAGGATATTCGATAATGTTCAGACCTTTGCAGCGAGCGCCTTCTTGAACAAGTTCACTTGCTGAGGAGTGAGTTCTCCACTACCTTGCTGCTGAAAATAAAATAAAGCATAAAGATTAGTCGTTTGGACACTTAACGCTAATTGCATTCAATTAGGAATACAAGCCGAAAGCACGACGATTTTTCGAGCACACCCGACAGCAGTATAGTGTATCCCGGATTACAATCCTAAATTTCTAAGGATGTGAGCACAATTACCTGTTTCTTGAGAGATAGTTCTCTGTTGTTCTGTTCAAGCTCCTTGCGGGCTTCAATTAAATGGTGTCTTAGCTCTTCATTGTGGGAGCGAAGATTTAGCTGTAATTAGAGGAAAAAATAGAATAGTGAATATTTTTAATCATGCTGGGAAATATACGGGAAAGGTAACCTCAACCTTGGCTAACCTCAAAACTAGAGCAGGGATACCGAGGTGAAAAGGAGAGAAATGACGAAAAAGTGTAAAATAGCAAACTTTCACTTCGGGCAAATCTTGTTTTTAAGAAAAGCAAGTCCAATTTTGAACTAAAAGACATAGAGTAAGTTGGGAGTAAGCGAGAAAAGAGAAACAAACATAAACACAGGTCTGCAAACTAGTAAAACTGCACTGGCATCTTCGGAAATCTTCGTAGACGTCCCTGAAGAATTTCGATCGCTGTTGTCCCATCGGAAATAGTACGGCAGCTTCTTATGGTGTCATGTTGACGTCATGGTGGGAAGTCTTGTTGCTAAGCTACCGTTCTTAGAACAAGCCCACGGTCAATCACCTCTCATGTGTTTGCGAGTTTAACCTACGTCGTAATTGTTCTCCCAGCTAAGTGCCAAGTTTAATATGTAATTACCAGTGCATCCCGGGCAGGACTGTTCGTTGTCGACCGAGGACTTTCGCCAAGATAACTACCTGATAAATTTCTAAGAGAAAAAAGAAAACAGTTACACACACATTGGTATATATCTTTGTCAATACGGATAGTAAACGAACGAACCCAACTCGTAAATGATACAATTCAATATACCGACGATTTCTAGTTACCTGACAGGGGTGGTGTTAGCGGAATCTCCAAGCAGTGCTGCGGTTTTTCGACACTCCTCCGTGATTTCCATGGCAGTCTCCTTCTCGGATGCCTCTGCTAACGCACTTAACTAAAGCAAGCAAAACAAACAACCAGCAAACAGTCACGAATCAGAACTTTTGAAAACGGATTTTCGTACAAAAATACCTGATAAGAAAAGAGAAGAGAATATTGAGCAAAAAGGTTAAAGGTTCGGCTGTAAATTCCGCTTTCGGACAACGCTGGAATTAATCTAGAATAAAGTAATAGTGCTTTGCAGTTTTAGGATTTTTTTCTTGGTTAAAAAAGAAGACCTAATGTTACACAAACTGATACGTTTTTTTCTACTCAAGGGCAAATTGTCAAAGTTTGTGTTAGTGGTTTAGGATCATGTAATATAAAATGACGTTACCTCCTGTATCTTGTCTTTCATCTTTACAATCTCTTCTTTAGCTTCATTTCTGACTTGCGCCACGGCATTGACCTTTTCCTGTTCAGCTTGCAAGTTCAATTCTCGTAATCTTTCGATTTCCTGCGGGCCAGCAATGTGGTATGGTCAGCAGATTGTCTGAATCACAGTCATAGCTACGTCACTCATTTTGCAACTTCTTCCTCCACCCACCCCTCCACTACTCGGTAAACTCGCGAAACAGGTGTAGTCGAGCCATCCCTGCGCCGATGAGGGATCGTGACTACGTGTAAGGTTACGTGAGGTGTCCGTTAGCGGAAGTTCGGCTCTATCACTATTGGTAAATTACAAGAATTTTCGAAATTCAAAGAACCTGATGGGATATTTACAGAACGCGAGATACAAAAGCTTTTCGAGCTTTCTACCAAGATTCCAAGTGGCCGGTTTATTGTGTTACTACACTCAAGCAAATGATAACAATTTCCGTGTCGTTCACGAGTAAAATAGTTGACATCCACTGAACAGTCACAAAAAAGAGAAAACTTTACAAACCTTTTTAATTTTGTTGACAGAGGTATTGAGATGAGTGTGTCCTTGTCTTTCAGCCTCAAGTTCTTCTCGCACTTGTTTCAATGCTGACTCGTATTTATCCCGTATTTCCTCGAGTTTAGCCTGGTGCCGCACGCGTTCTCGGTCAGTGGTCTCGCGCTCTTTCTCAAGTGCATTTCGAATCTGACAAAAAAAAAAAAGCCAAAAACAAATAGCTTGATTTTGTAGAACGGTTAACTGTTACATGTAAAACTGTTTAAACTTTGAAATTACAGGGTGTTTACCATTTGTCAGAATAAACCGGTTGGGACGACTTTTGAATAATGTGGTAAGGGTTTTTCTAAAATCAGCAAACCAACCGAACGAGATGGCACTTACCATTTGCAATTGAATTTCCCGTAATTGTTTTTGGCTGATGAGAGACTGGAAACTGGGAAATGTAGCAAATGGTAAGAAAATTCCCGCCATTTCGTTCCGAACGGAAAAAAGAGGACTACTTCTGGAGGTACAGTAGTCCACAAACCGGTTTCCCGGAAAATTACTGTTCCGTTTGGTCTTCAATAACAGTTTTCTAAGCACTCACATGTTCCTGTGCTTCGTTTCTCATTTTCTCTCCTAATAATCTCGTAGCGTCTTCTTGCTGTCGAACCAGACCTCTTAGCATGGCAATCTCATCATCTTTATTCTGTCGTAAAAAAGGAAAGGGTAACATTTTTTTTCCAAACGATGCTCTGCGAAACAAACAGCTGTTTTCTTTCTACAGCGTAGTTCTAGGAAAGACTAATTGTTTTAATTTACTCACTCGCTCACTCACTCATCCTCTTCGCTCCTGTAAGTGGAGCATAAGGCTAAAACAAATAGTTTAAAGTACATTCAACTTAAAAAGGATCTAGTGATGGGATGACAATCTGTTTTCAAGCGTTCATCTCACTCAAGAAACGTAAGGAACTTAAACAGAACAAGACTACAGCGACTCTCATCTCCGTTGTCCCTCGCCGATTTCCGCTCGACACTACTTCCGTTCGCACGTGCGTTGCGCTTGCTCGACAAATTCAAACAGGAACTTCTCTCTAACCTTTATCACTTGACTGAGCTCGTCTGTGTGGGAGGAAGATTTCTCCTCTTGTCTTCTCAATTCCAACATTTTCTCCTCGAGGAGCTGCCAAAAAAATTTAAACACACACTATGGTTAGTCAAAGTAACAAATAAGTTTTACCAAGTGGTCAGGTAAAAGCATTTCTGGAATCATTTTACCTCCTCAGTTCGTCTTTGCTTCTCGTGAAGAGCAGCCTGCTTCTCGTTCAAAGACTCAACCTGTGAAAAATTCAGCATGATGATGAACGATAATCGAAAGTGATAACCAGAACAAGTTTTCAGTGAAATCAGAAAGCTGCGTTCACTGTAATTTTAGTCTTAAAGGCCTTTTCCACTGACTGCTGGAAGTAATGATGTGTGACATTCTCTAACCAATTAGAGAACACTTACTGCTTTTTCAACCAATCAAGAGCAAACGCAAAGCCAAGAGTGACAAGGTAAACGCGTATTTCCCCGCGCTTGACAAAGGTTGCCTTTTTTGAGTCAAGTTCTGATTAGTACATTCCTCTATTTGCGTTTGTTTTACGTCATCGAGCTCTGTTATTGGTTAAGAAAACAGCATGCGTGCATTGTGTTCCAACCAATCAAAGTGGAGATACGGTCGTTTTGGCCAATTAGGTGCAATACTACTTCAGCTTACAAGCTACAAGGTTTGCATTTTGGTTTATTGAACTCCTAGGTCTGTTCTCCTATTTAGTAGGATAAAAGACGAGGAAGAATTAAAGAAAATAAAATTTGCCTCATCACACCTCAATTCTCAAGGACTTGGCGTGCGTGTGTTGTTTCGCCATGTTCTCTTTCCACTCACTCTCACAATCAAACAACTTCTGCTGTTCTTGGAACAGTTGACTCTTGAGTTTTGTTATCTCTTCCTCGTAGTCTTTCAAGTTGCTCTGTAACTGAGAAATCGCGTGATCCCTTTCCTGTGATGAAATGAAAAAAGTCTCAGTTAAAAACAGTCACCTTAAATCACTAACAGAGACAAGAATACTTTTGCATATTAATGTGAGATCAGCAACAGCTTTCCAGTTTTTCTAATTTGGCTGCATGTATAGATACCTGTAACTTTTTATTGATTCCTTCTGCATCTCTTCGAGTATTTTCACGTAAAGAGTCCAACTCCATTTCTTTCTCCTATATCAGAAAATGAATGAATACATGTTAAATACATTCACTGATGTATGATAAGTGATTAACTTATTTCCGGTTGAATACAACCTCCCACGACAGAAAAAAAAAATACACAGGTGGAGTGAGTGAAGGCTGCACGTACAAAGAATCAACAATGAATACCATCTGCTCAACGACTAAGAAAATGCAGAAACACAAATTTTAGTCGGGCGCTATAAATAGTTTTTAATCTTAACTTTTAGGTGTTCACCGTCGGCTATTTTACCTAGACACGTTTATAAAGTTGTTGTAGACTTTATCTAAAAGCTGCAGTTTTAGACATACAATAAGAGGAAAGGCGAAACAACTCAGATATTTCCACTCACCCTTATGAATCTGTTTTTCAGCACTTCTATCTCCTTGTCGTGCATTTCTTTGGATTCATCTTGCAGTTTGTGGATGGCGTTGATTCTCTCGTAGTGAGAATCTCGCGCCTTTTGACGTTCATCTTCAAGTTGCTATGAAAATGAAAAAAAAGTGTTACAACACAAATAAGTCAAACGCAGTTGTAACAAACGAAGTGTCTCGCAACTGGACATTTTAAAAAAAAAAAAAATAACCTGCTGGATTGTATTACTGCATTAGGAGGAGCGCTGTGTATTTTCTGTTCTTTAGGAACTTTATCAAGAAGTGAAAACTTTCCAAAGGATGAAGAACACAGAACAATGGCTTCCGAGTTTTCTGTAAAAGAATAGTGATCAGGAACCAGAGAGATCATGCTACTCTACCAAAATTTAACCAATTATGACGGCTACTTCTGTTGTGGTGACGCTACTTTTAATATATTTTCTATTAATTAATGGAAATTATCAAAAAGTGATCACTCAAAATACATGTCGGACAGTCAGTTATGAAGGATATTTCTGTTGTAGTAAGGCTACTTTTAATCTATATTCTAATAATTAATCGAAATTAGCAAAAAGTGATCGGTCAAAATACATGTCGGACAGCCAGTTCTTTACGTAGCCTGCAAGCAGGCTCACGTTGGAGCACGAGCACAAGCGCGCGCGTAGCCGCGTCCGCGAAATCGAGCGGCGAAGCCGTGAGACGAGAAATTTCCCTCACCCCGGATCGCTTTGCTCTTCGCCGCTCGCAAGATATTCTTTACGCAGAGTTCACGATATGGCAGAGAGCTGTTTGTCGTCCTCTCTCCCCAATACGTGCTTCTGTCACACTTCATGCTCGCTGCACACAAGACCACAAAACCACTAAGAAACCACTTTAAGAGCCATGTTCAGGCGTTAAGAATATCGGCATTAATAATAAATGGCTTGAAAGTACAAGTATCAGTTGTTCCTCTAGTAGTATCGTTTGGGTGAGGCTAGTTCTGGAAAGAACTATTGTTAGTGAATGAGAGTCAAGTCGTTTGTCAGTCGATATGATAACTAGTCGATGGTGTTATAAGTTTGGTCCGCTGAAACCGACTGGTCAGTTTAGTCGTGATGGTATTGGCTGTAACCCTCGTGTAAGATTTGTCAACAGTAATTGCTAAGTTACTGACCTGCTTGAGTTTTTCCACGCTTTCCTTCGACCCCCGTTGTTCTTCATGCAATTGCTCCTGGAGAGCTCGAATCTTTTCCAGGTGATTTTGTTTTTCATTAGCAAAGTTCCCTTCAGCCTGTTTAAGCTGAGATCGCAACGATTCCACCTCGCTATGAAGTTGATCTTTCTCTATGCTCAGCTCTAGGACTTTCAACTCGTTCTTCTTTTCGACTTCAACCACTTGCTTAGCCTCCTGTTTTTGTCTGCTGAGGCAGTTTCGGATTTCTTTGATTTCATGTTGGATATTGTCTCTTTGCAGCTCAAGGTCCATAAGCTGAGATCTGAAGATTCCCAAGTAAAACTGTATCAATGTCAGGCACAAAAGAAAGATTTTGGATTGAACAAAGAACACAAGAAAAAAACTCAGTTTTTCTAATTCTGTAATTCCATTTATAGCGTCAAAACAGTCTAACATACAAGACGTAAAAAGAATTTAATTTAGTAAATTTTCCACTGATCTTCGTCTCTGCCAGCAGCAAAACTCAACTCATGTCTTTAAACAACAAAAAATTTTCCCGGTTTCATTTACCTAGTTTTCGTTGCTTGTTGTCTGTATTGCTCCACCAAATTTTCAGATGATTTCACTTCAGCTGCATTGCGTTTGATTGTCTCTTCCAGAGCTTGAATCTCCTGCAAAGCAATCTGTATAGAGAAAAAGAGTTAAAGTACGTGTGTAACCATTCATCTACAAGCTTGAGACAGAATGTTGGCAAGAGGTCTTATTGTTTATCCCTGTCTTTAATTAATGCTAATTGAAACAGGTGTTCATGTACCTTTTTCCTTGATGCGGCCTCTTCGAGTTCAAACTCCACGTTTTTAACTTCTTGCAAGCTTCTATGTAGTTTCCTTTCATTCTCCTGCAACTGTATAAAACAACAAGCTTTGAGGGCCTCCCACAGCTTTTGGGGAACAAGGGATCATTTTTAGTAAATCTGTGTAGAAAGTTAAAAGAGTTTTTAAACACAAAGGAGCAACAAATCTTTAATCAACTTCTTACCTTGAGCATCATTCTATGAGTTTCTCTTTGTGCTTCTAACTTGTCTGCCTACAAAAGAAATGATGCTTTGTTTAAAGCAATTTGCGTAACGGAAGAGCATCTGTTTGGGGTGGGTTCGGCAATAATGCTTCAACCACTAAGAGAAAAGTGGAAAGATAGGGCGGGGTCATATCCTCATTGTGCCTATGTGGCACATAAGGTTGACTGCGATACTATAGTTTTCCACTTTTGCCTTTCACTTGCAATTCTCTCCAGTTGACTCCATGTCTTTTCCAACTAAAGTTTTTCATTTCAGCCATGATAGTCCTCCAAGTTTCTTTCGTTCAGCATCTGGTTGTGTGTCTTAATGCAGTTTCTCAGAACATGCCCAAGTAGTCTATGTCTCTGCTGCTTGGTTATTGTAGTGACGTTTCTCTGACCTGTCTTGGGGATAGAGAACCTCATTGCAGATACTTTGGAGCCAATCAGTTCTGCAGATCTGTATATGAAGTATAATTGGTAGCCTGAATGGCAATGCTCTTTGACTATCCGTCTGGGTAACCCTCCAGCAATCTGCACCATACAGTAGTTCTTGACTAACAAGATGTTGTTGTAAAAGATGTACAGGTAGGGTAGAGTAAGGTAGGGTGAGGGAGGAAACAGAGAGGAAGGATGGGGTGGCAGGGTGTGGAAGGCGACTCCAAAAATGTTAAAATACAAATTAGAACCTACAGCTGTAACTGCCTGAGTAGGTTCATCATCAAAAGGTCAGTGACATGTAGTTTGACTCACCTGATGAGACTTGGGTGGTGAAAACACAGCCTGGGATTTTGTTTGAGGAGTTGACGTCATAAATCCTGCAGACACTGCTCCACTATCCTGATAATCAAACCTTCTGGAATTCCCACTATCAGAAAACTTTTCAACTTGAAACCTGGAATTATGAAAAACATGAATTAAAGAATAATTTCATGCAAACCATGTAACTGGATATGTTGAGAAATGACAACATGTTAAAATTACCGCTGATCATTCCTGTCTTTGTGTGGCAATGAATAACTTTCATCAGGATGGAGAGCTGTCACTGTCAAAAATAAATGCATGGAAATGACGTGTTGAAGCAGAAACTGTGGTACAAAATAAACAGCCAAGCGCTGTACAAGTTAGGGAAGATTAGAACCTTGTAGGCACAATTTTTATGTTTATATGACTTGGAAATTACCACTTCATAAAAGGGCCAGGTATAAAGGTTGCTGATACCATAGTGACAGCTGACTTTTCCTACATCAGTACAAAATAGTTTGGGTCACCCTCACTAGAGGCATTTTTTTTTTCAGTTTTCTTATATATTCAAGATCTACAAAGACAAAACTGCTTTTAATTATAATAATACAGTGGTCTTGGACTTTATGAATGTGTCTTTTGATCTTCTTCTAATCGATTAACTTGTTTGTGTGCTCAAATCTTCTCCCTCTATGCTCCGGAACTTCTGATGATGCCATTCGACAGCAGAGCACCTTGCCTTGGTTCTTACATGTGTATGTATCTGCTCTGTATCCCCGGCACTACTCCACCCAACTACGCCACTATATTACCCTCACCTTTCTGCTTTGATGAAGACTGTGTTTTAACATTCTGTTCATAGCTATGCACAGCTGTTCTGCCTAACTCATCCATATTATGTGCAGGTGATACACTTCGAGTTTGTAAATAAGACATCCCATCAAGTTCATTGTGATAATATTCCCTTTGTTCCTCAGTATTGTCACTAGCATCATCATCATCGTCATCATCACCGTCATAGTTCATAGCTGCTCTAAAAGCAGAAGTCTCCTTGATAAACTCACCGTCTATTGCCTGGTGACGGTCTCTCTGCTGTGTTTCTCTTGAGCCTGTTACATCTTCTCTAAACCGTACTTCTTTGCGAGTTGCTGAGCCGTGCCGTCTTGCTGATGTTGATACACTGGACTCAAAAGAGCTACTTCGATCTGTGAGGGTTCCACTGTTTTGCTCGTCTGTCCGTAATCGTACTTGAGGTGACCCAGACTTTTGGAGGGACTGTTGTGTTACACTACTAGTGTGACTTAGAGTTCCTCTTTCTTCAATCTGGCCATCAGATCTAGAAACTAACATTACAAAAAACTAGGTGATTACTGCATCCTTTCTCTTATAGGCATTGTGTTTGCATTGCACTATATTAACACCTCTTTGTTTGCATTCTTGTCACTGTTTTAGAGCAATGAAACTTTTAGTCGATTGCAACAATCTAAATGGTTGTTGATTTACATTCTTACCTTCCTGAACACTTCCTGACCCTGAGGCAGAACTCTTGGATCGACTGCTGCATGCAAGGAATCAAAAGTTACTTGTAACTTAACTGTAATTCTACTCATACCTACAATAATCGTTAGCAAGAAGCTTTAGTGATAAGGGAACAAACAAAACTGTCCTCTTAGAAAAAAATGAATGGTTCCTGGCTACATAAAACTACTGCTCAAAGTAGTCATGACTACAGATGCTACAACTGTATCGTCAGCATTGACCATGTCTATTTCTTTTTGTGCAAGATTTTTCTTTGAGTCACCAGGGACATGTGTAACCCAGCAATACAGAATATTCCTCAAACTACCCATCTGTAAAGCAGTAAAGCATAACAGAAGAGGCGGCTACTAAGCCTAGTGTCAAATTATAGC